TGCTAGCATTGTCAGACTCATCCACGGGCTCTCTGTCTTGTAAAAGTGTTTGTGATTCTTGGTATAAGATCCTTTGGTCTATTGTGGGGAGGAAAAGAGAAGAGAAAGAAAACGCAGCAAAGGAAGAAGCAGGTTCCGGGGCCAGAAGCAGTAAACCTGGGCTGTACACAGGCAGGAGGAACTGGCTGGTATTTTGGGTGGTGTTTGGCCTAGGTTGGATGGTAATTTATGTAGCCTACAGGATACAGTCTGTGCTGGCTTACCCAGTTCTTCCTATAGTCCAAGAGAAGCTGCAAGATATTGGGCTATTCAGGAGCCACCCAGATAGAAAAGTGCAGTTGTGACCTTCTGAGTGTGTCATCACTTAAAAAATAAGCTAGAATAAAGATCGATGGAAAACAAGACGTTCCCTGAATGTAAAGCTTTTTTGTCCTGCTGCACCAATGTTGAGAGCTTATGTATATTTGGAAAAGTAAGTTTGCACTATTTAGTCATCTTCTACAGAAAGTCTTCTCATCAGAGTCAAAAGAACAGTTTTTAAAGTATTTGATAGATTTGTTCTATCACCCTGCAGAAACTTGGCCCAGTGGTTAAGATGTGCATAAATACGTCAGACAGTGTTCACAGCAATCTCCTGTCTCATCACCAGCATGCAGAAGCAACACGCTCTTTCCCATCCTGTGGATACACGCTTCTTTTTGAGGTTTCTCTGCTAGGGCTTCTCACTGTGGGATTGTCTTAGCTGAGGAGTCTCTGCCCTTCATTTGTGGAAACAAACTAATGCCTGGTTATCGTTGTCCCTTAGCTACGCTATTGCAGACAATTCATACCGCTCCCTGCGCACGGAGAGGAAGGATCAGTGTATTCTGATCTCTGGGGAGAGTGGAGCTGGCAAAACGGAGGCCACCAAGAAGATCCTGCAGTACTACGCCGTGACCTGTCCAGCCAGCCAGCAGGTTGAAACTGTGAAGGATCGCCTGTTACAATCCAATCCCGTCCTGGAGGTAACTCTAGAGCCTGCAGCACGGAAACTTGACATTGAGTCATACCAGCAGTCCTCACATTTTCCAGCTGAGGGGGTGGGGGCAGCTGGTCCTCCCCGGGCAGGACTGAGCTGTCTGTGCAGAGCAGATAGCGTATCCTGGGTACACTGCTTCATGGCATGTGGGCAGATTGTTTGCGCTGCACACAGGGGAATCCCAGTCTGCTTTCAAGCCAAGGAAGTGGCTGGCTGCTACTGAACTCACTCGGCCCTTTCCAGTCCACCAGGAGCAATTCTGGAGCGGGCAGGCTGCAGGGAGAGGCATTTGGCGTGGGAAGAGTTCTGGTGCGCCGCATAAGTTTGTGAAGCCAGAAGCGGACACATCAGCTGTGGGCAGCGTTGCCCTCTGATAAATGCGTTTGTGGGTGCATTTTCTACTGCTGTGGTGTCCTCTAGTGTCCAGTCCTGAGCTGTCTTTGTAGTTCCCTTTGGTATTTCCGCTCCGTACTCCAGTATGTGCTGCGTGCACAGGAAAGGTGTGCTCCCTGTGAGAGGGGAAAGCCTGGCAGGCCTAGGCCTGTTAGGATAGTGCCCGCTGTGAGCGGAGCTGCAGGAGACTCTAAGCAAATAGCTGTGATGAAAGAGGAAGCTTTGAAAAGACTGTCAGACATGACATATGCTGTCAACAGTGAACTGGCATTAAAATAAGCTTGCTGGGGGGATGGAATTATTTTCAGAGGCATGCTCCATCTGCAATGCTTGCACTGAGTATAAGGATCAGCATTAGAATTTGTGTAGCAATCTGTTTCCTTCTTGGTTTCCCTTGTGAAAAAGGACAAACCTAAGCTTTAATGGCTGTAAATAAACAACTGGCAGCTTCACCAAAGTGTTTGTAAATAATCTTATTTGATACTTATTTTTTTCTAATCGTTTTCATCTCAGGCCTTTGGAAATGCAAAAACCCTTCGGAATGACAACTCCAGCCGATTTGGGAAATACATGGATGTGCAGTTTGATTACAGGGTAACTTAAAATCTGTTTTATACTTCAGAACTGGTCCCGGTCATAGCAGGTCTCTGTTGTTTGTGCTTTCTTGTACTGATGAGTGCGTGGAGCGATTGTTTTGCATTCCCTTGGCGATGGCGAGCCTGTAGTAGCAAAAGTTTGGTTCCAGAGAATTTTATAGTACACACTTTCCTTTTTTAATTCTCTCGTTTCTGTAAGTAGACAGAGATGAAATCCTCTTATTTCTAGGGTATATGTGCACCATGCAAATGGATACTTCCAAACTAAATCCACATAAACCAGCTGTGATCTGAAGATAATCTCTGTCCTGTGTAACTTTGCGTAGTGTTTGTTTTGATTCTGATCCAAGTTGCCCCATGCTATATGAAGATGAACATAGTGCAAGAACTGAGTAGCTTGGCTTACTGCAGTTGTTTAAAACGTCTCAATACACAATCCCTCCAGTTTGCTTTGTTGCTTTTCCTTTGTGTTGAATTCCTTCTGAGAAAGATCCCTTCCCGTATGTGCTGTAGCCATGATCTGTGTAGCGGCTTGATATTTTTACTTGATAGCTCCTTCTGCATACACCTCAAAACTCAAATTGCCCCTGTGTTTTAGCTGAGATAATTTTCTTTTTGTATCCTGTTTGTCTTCGAATAGACCACCCAGAAGCAGAAATATTTTCCTCTCTGTTGATGACTGTTTCAATGTATCTGGTTTGATTTAGGGGGCTCCTGTTGGGGGCCACATCTTGAACTACCTCCTGGAGAAATCCCGAGTTGTGCACCAGAATCATGGAGAGAGGAATTTCCACATTTTCTACCAGCTGCTAGAAGGAGGCGAAGAGGACTTACTGCGAAGGCTGGGCCTCGAGAAGAGCCCACAACAGTATCAGTATTTAGTAAAGGTGTGCATTAACTCACAATTCTCATAATATTGTTATATTCTAGGACCAATATATTCTCACTTGACTTCGTAGTTTCTTTCCCTCACTTCAGAAATAACACTGAAATGACTGCAATGAAAAGAAACGCATGGCAAAAGTGTATTGAAGCATGAGTAATATATCTTTGACGGTTATTTACTTTTTTATGTCAAACTCTGTCTTTTTAGGGTCACTGTGCAAGGGTCAGTTCCATAAATGATAAAAACGATTGGAAGATTGTGCGAAGAGCCCTGTCCATTATAAGCTTCAATGACAACGAGGTGGAGGTAAGACGTGTTTAACAGCACAACTGATTTTCCTACTTGTGAGGAATTTTTCTGCTTTGATTTGTTATTTCTGACCAGAGGCAGCCTTCAGAACAAATGTATTCTCTGCAAAAATCCTGAAAAAAAATTACAAAATGTTCTTGTAACATGTTAATTAACACAAAAATCTCACTGCCTTTTCTCACTGTGCGTTCATTTAATCGTCCTGGTTTCTGCCTGTTGCTTCCATCCTAGGATTTGCTGAGCATTGTGGCTAGCGTTCTGCATCTGGGGAACGTGCAGTTTGCTGCTGATGAGCAAGGAAATGCTCAGGTCACTACAGAGAATCAGATTAAATACCTGGCTAGGGTGAGTATCACCAGTTGGAGATAATTCATTAAAGATGAATTAGAGAGGTTTCCTTATTTTGAACTTGGTACCATTGTATCATTTTAGAACATGATTTAGAAGTTTTCATAAATTTATTTGACCTAAATAAAATGCAGATATGAACATTGAAACCCTTTGATTGACAACTTCTGGAGTCAAGTGGTAAACAGAGGTTTTTGCCTTCAGGCAGTGGCATAGGAATAGACCTCCTCTGGAGAGGAGTTTTAAAGAAAGAACAACCCTTGTGGCTTTGATTAGTCAGTTCTTTGTGCCAGAGCAATCAAGCCAATTTATTTGTTAGGTCACATCACTGCCAGAAAGGAGGTGATGTGTGGGAGGAAAGGGAAGGATTGACTTTGCAAGAAGTCTTGTAGTGTGAATGGGATAATAAAGGGTTGCTTCACTGGACTGTGCTTTTGAGGACTAGCCTTTCTGATCTCTTAAATCTGTTACTGATAAATTGAACATAGCTTCATAAATTAATATAATATTCTACTGCTTTGCAGCTTCTAGCAGTTGAGGGCTCTGTTCTTCGAGATGCATTGATCCACAAGAAGATCATAGCAAAAGGGGAAGAGGTAAGAACATGAACTGGGGATCTGGGAGGCATGTGGAGTTAAATCAAACTAGCGATACAGCGTCAGCTCTCGTACCCGAACTAACCAGTTCACTTCTCATTCGTCAAAGGAGGCTGTCAGTGCAGGAGTCCCACAGCCCAGTGGTGGCTGGGAGACAGTGATGTCCGCTGAGCCCAGCAGGATGCTGTTGAGTGGCTGTTCATTAACAATGAACCGGGAAAACTTAATCCCTCAGTGGAATGGCTGTTGAATGGCTTTTTTTCCTCCATCTGCATGCAGCTCGTCAGTCCTCTGAACCTGGAGCAGGCAGCCTATGCAAGGGATGCGCTTGCTAAGGCAATATACGGACGCACTTTCTCCTGGCTGGTGAACAAGGTTAACAAGTCTCTTGCTTACAAGGTAAATGAACCTTTTGTTTGTTGATATCCAACCACGAATGAAAGGAAGTTTCAAATCTTGTAGCTGCAAAGCAGAGAAATGGCAAGTTCCATGCTGTACAGTGATTTCTAAATTAATTTGCTTTACATGAAGAGGAGGGCAAGGACTAAATGCTGTAACTAAATGGATAAGATCCCGTGATGGATTGTAGCTGTGAGTACATCTCAACATTTCTTTTCTGCCTTATTGCAGGAAGGAGAGTTTCCAGGCTGGAGAAGTACAACAGTTTTAGGATTACTTGATATCTATGGATTTGAGGTTTTTCAGCACAACAGGTTTGATTCAATCGATGTGGCTAAGTTTTGAGTAAACTCTGCATGAGTTCATTCGTTATAGTGTTTTGTCTCCACTGTGAAATAAGTTTTTATTCCATCTCTGGTTCTCTTAGTAAGAAAGAAAAAGATAATGTTTAAACTTCAGGAAATCAGTTGAATAACTGATAATCACAGGGCTTCTAACACTTGGGGCATCCAGCTAATACTTAGCATTTACAGCTATTAACATTTCTGGTATTTTAAAGACACTGTTGCCTTTTTTGCAGCATACTGATGCCATAGCTTCAACTATGCGTTTGTTGAGCTCTGGCAGAGTGGTGGCTGTTGTGGCATCTTTCCATGGTGGTGTGAGTGGGGAAACGCGGCTGTAAAACCGTGTGGGGGACTATGTTGGAGCCTGGAACCTGGCTCTGGCACGTAGCGATGACCTGAGACCCTCACTTTTGCCATATTGGGCCCTTCTTAAAAGTTTTTGTGGCCCTCTGTGTTCCACCCTTTGTGTCTGTTTTCTTGATTTACCCAGAGATAACATTTATGCTGCTGCTCACTGATTATAGATTCTTTTATTTGTGGTACAGTGTTAGTGATTATTTTTCTGATTTTTTTTTGTTGTTGTTTGCAGCTTTGAACAATTTTGTATAAATTATTGTAATGAAAAATTGCAGCAGCTCTTCATAGAGCTCACATTGAAGTCAGAACAAGAGGAATACGAGTCAGAAGGCATAGCGGTAAGAGCCAATATCATCACTTCCACCGTCTCCTTTGTAGCACCTCCTGCAGGCCAGAGGACAGCTTCGAAAAGGAGCTGCTAATAATGGTCTGCAAAGTAAATTAATTAAAGAGCCTTCCTTTTTCCTTTGATAACTGTGATACAGCTAGAAGTGAGTAATGTCATTCACAAATTTGATGAATGAAAAAGCTTTGTTTCAAATTTGACAGAATGGTTATTTAAATAAGGTGCTGTCTGAAATGTTCTGAAATGTTCGTGTTTTTTCCAGTTGAGAATTGTTTTCGCCCAAGTGTGATTTCTTGTTTTTGTAGTGGGAACCAGTTCAGTATTTCAATAACAAAATAATTTGTGATTTGGTGGAAGAGAAATTTAAAGGCATCATTTCTATTTTGGTGAGTTAACAACAACTTTTTAAATGAATAATTTGGGGCAGTGTAGTGGAAAACAACAAGGGGAAGAACACTGGAGGAAAAAGGTCTAAGCTTGTATTAGGATTATTTGGGCAGGTGGGAAGAGCTACGATACATTAAAGGTCATAGTGTCACCTCCCTCTGCTCTCAGGAAAGAAGCTTCCAATCCAGGCAGTCTGGAAGGAGGGAAGTGTTTTCTTTTTCAGCTCGACAGTTCTTTTGTTGAGCTACGGGCTGGCCTACCTGTTAAAAGGCCAACGGGTCAAACTGGGGCAGTGTTTCAGTGAGACAGAATTAGAGCTGGCCTCTGAGCACAGTGAGAAATCAACACTAGAATGCATGTGTTTGTAGGATGAAGAGTGTCTGAGACCTGGGGATGCCACAGATACAACATTCTTGGAGAAGCTGGAGGAAACTGTAAAGAACCACCCTCACTTTCTCACGTGAGTGTTCACGTAGCTGAGGGCAGTTATGGTAGGATCCAAGTGTGTGATAGAGCCTGGAGCTTTAATTACTCCTAGACAACATGATAACTCATTGTGTATATGGCAGCAGCTTCCTCAGAATACTGGGTCCCACGTAAAAGGTGATCATGTTTTCTTTTGCAAAGAGATTAGATGGTGAGTTAAGATAATAGAGAATAAGTTGTCAACACTAACTGCCTTGCTTTTCTCAAGACTGTGCTTCCAAATACAACAGGAGCAACAAAACTCTTGTTACTGACTTGCCTCTTCACCAATCTCTTCCTGGCATCCTACTGCTAATACGTCCAAGGAATTTGCAGGCTTGCAGCTTCTTGGCTGATCTGGCCTAATACTTCAGGTGTGACAGACTCTGGTTTGGAGTGTTAGGCCAGATCATTCCCCAGCATTGATGATTCAGGCCTAGAAGTAACTAGAACATGGAGCAGAATTTTACCAGTAAATAGGGTGTTGAGAGGTGTATGTGCATTAGAGTGATTTAAACAGTGTTAGTGCTTTCGAAATGCAGAGGTTTATATTGCAATAACTCACCTCTGTGCCCGTCTGCTTCCCAGACGACATTGATATCCTCCTTTGCCTTTGGTCACCTATCCATATTGCCGCCACTCCGGTTTAATGGGTGTGAATTCCATGCTTCACCTTTCAGATTGTTTACTTCGGTTTTAGAGCTCCAAATGTTGTCTTATTTGTACTGAATGTTCTGCATATGCTCAGATCGGGATCTGCACGGCATCTCATGAGTATGCCAGCCTGCTGCCAGCATCTTTGCTGCCCTCTTGCCTGCTGCCTCTACTCTAATTTCATGTGCACACAGAACCACTCTGCAACCTCGCCAGGAAGCTGAAAGTTCATCCATTTGAAATCAACAGAAATGCATTTTATGACATTTTTATGATTTGCTAGTTGATAACTCTTTATTTACTTTTGGTCTTGAAAATCAGTGAGTCAGATTTATTCCCCACTAGTCCCACTCTGGGATCAAATGCCACAGAGGTTTTTGAAGTGAATCCCCCCCATGAAACCAATGTTTCTCATGAAGTTTCTTCACTTTCTCACCAGGCACAAGCTCGCTGACCAAAAGACTCGCAAATCACTGGGACGGGAGGAGTTTCGGCTTTTGCACTATGCTGGAGAGGTCACCTACAGTGTTGCAGGTAAGTGTGTGCATCATCTCTGCTGTCTCTCACTCTTTTCTCCTCCTCCTGTCCTCTGCCCTTTGAATTAAAACAGCTTCACTACATGTAAAGAAAAATCTGGGTGTAGAATACTTCCATACGTGATTTGATTGACCAGATTAATTTCCCATCTCAAATTCCTGCCTTGTTGTGGAGTTCCTATGGAACAGCGGTGGCAGCCTGAGCGGTTTCTTTTTCTTCCAGGTTTTCTAGATAAAAACAATGACCTTCTCTTTCGGAACCTAAAGGAGGTGAGTGTGGATAGAGGACGTTCCCAGTACTCAGCAGAATGAGGAGTCGGGTTTAAAATGGGGTGGCACCTGAGGGAAAAGATTCTTCTAGACTCCATCTGGCGAATGTGTGTCCATAGGGCTGCACTATGAAAAGACAAATCAAGGTGCCCAAAGTTCATTTTACTATTAAAAAGCAAAACAAACCAAAACGCCCCAAGCAAACAGGTTTTGGCCCATGTGTCTTTGATAGTTCTCTGAAGAATACTCTGTGCTTTATCTCTGAAAACGTCTCTCTCTGCAGACCATGTGCAACTCTGAGAATCCAATCATAAATCAGTGTTTTGACAGGACGGAGCTGACGGACAAAAAAAGACCTGAAACGGTAAGAATGCAAGAGCTGGATGGAAGCATGGCCATTTCCTCTTTTTAAAAGCCTATCTAACGTGGTAATCTGAATGCAAGCCTCCTGCATTTAAAGCTGGGAGACCGAGGTCTGTTCTGCAGTCGCACGTACTAGCTCTAAGTCATCACTTCATATATAGTTTTCTTTCTTTTCTCCTAGGCAGCAACTCAGTTTAAAAACAGCCTCTCCAAACTCATGGAAATTCTGATGTCAAAAGAACCCTCCTACATTCGTTGCATTAAACCTAACGATGCTAAACAGGCTGGTACGACCCTGGTGACTCTTCCTCTTTTCTATGACAGCTATATATAGACCACTAGTTCCTAGTGAGGCACAGAAAGGAGCCCAAATGTCGAAGTCCTGCAAGATTTTTTTTTCATTTTGGGTGTGCCAGAGCTGCTTGTAGGGAGGTGGTGGCAGTGCCAGCAGCCAGGAATCGGAGTGGGAGCGCTGGTCTTGGGTGGAGTGGGGTCATGTTGACAGTGAGGAATTACTAACCTACGTAACGTCCTTTTAATGGCCTTTATTCTTCCTCATTTCTTCCTACTGTCTGCATAGAACATCATAAAGGAGAACTTTTTGCAATGAAATATAAATGTGTATTATGGGCGGGAGGGGCAGGAAGACAGACACAAAGTGAGTTGTGTGGACTTGCACTGTGAGGGTGGGTTAGAGGTTAAAGATAACTGTGTACAGTATAACCAAGAACTGAACGTTCCCTTCTCCAGGTGAAGGGACAGCTATACATTAATCACATTTCTCTATTTTCATGCTCTCTAAAGATCGATTTGATGAAGTTCTAATCCGACATCAAGTGAAATACCTAGGGTTGATGGAGAACCTCCGAGTGCGCAGAGCCGGGTTTGCGTATCGAAGAAAATACGAAGTTTTCCTGCAGAGGTAGGATTACCTTGGACTTCTTCCTCTGCTGCTCCCTCCCCCTGGTCTTGGTCCCACAGATGTTGAGGCTGGGGAGCTGTTCAGAACAGCAGAGAGGCCGCCCTGACACTTGAAAGACTTGGTTTCTTGAGGGAGCGAGAAGCATGGCCGCTGTCTCTTCCCACTGCCCTGTACGGGCTGGACTTCTCTTCCTAAGACTACTTCTGCTCTCACTTTACAGGTACAAATCACTTTGTCCAGAAACGTGGCCTACGTGGGACGGCCGGCCCCACGATGGGGTGGCTGTGCTGGTGAAGCATCTTGGCTACAAACAGGAAGAATACAAAATGGGACGGTTAGTTCTTCGGTTTTCTTAATTTGAGATTATGAATCGTTGGACATCCATGTCATTGCTTTTAAATAAGGCTTCTTGATCTAATGGGTGAGGAAAGGATTAGAGATCCCAAAGGGGATGCTAAGGGCAGGAAGCAAACTTCTGCGGCGTGTTAAACATCATTCTGCCTTTCTATTTCTAGAACAAAGATTTTTATCCGCTTTCCCAAGACCTTGTTTGCAACGGAAGATGCTCTGGAAGTGAGAAAGCAGAGTCTGGGTGAGTCACACACACTGCAGGAGCTTCATGGACAGTTAGCTGTCTGTTTTCTGATATTTTTTTTTTTCTATTTGTTCAGAGAGGGATTTTTGTTTAAAAATTTGAGCCTTTTTCTACCAAAATCTGCTTGGTCACGATTTCAAATTGCTGTTTTTCTTGCAATTTCAGCAACAAAAATGCAGGCCACATGGAGGGGTTTCTACCGTCGAAAGAAATTCCTGCACATGAAACACTCAGGTAAGAGACAGAGGAAACAGCAGTGCTGTGTGACTGCGTGGTTTGAGCGGTCGCTGCTGTCGGAGATGACTCGTTTGATGCGCAAGAAGGAACATTTCCCGAAGCTGTGCCGGAAGTAGAATGGCAGATGTCGGTGTGGTACCAAGTCCTTCCACCTTCGGTCTGTGAGACTGAACAAGAGAATCAGACTTCACTCACCTTCACACGGCAGCCCTCAAACAGCAGTTCCCGTCTGCTAGTGCTTTTTATTGACATGTATCCATTCTATCATGTTGTCAAGAACTTACATTATGTTCTTTCCCATATGCCATGGTGAAGGCTGTTTATTTACAGAGCGGGCTTTCTTGAGCCCTCTTTGTTCCCAGTTTTGTATGGAGTCAGTATCGGTGTGAAGGAGCTCACTTAGCGCTAAATCTTTGTATTATTTTTAGCAATAGCCATCCAGTCCTGGTGGCGGGGAACCCTGGGACGCCGAAAAGCTGCCAAGAAGAAGTGGGCAGTAGAGACCATCAGAAGGTGCGTAAAGAGTAACCCAAGCCATCCCAGCAGTACTGTTTGAAGAGTGGTATGATAAGGATAAACTTTCTCATCACTACAGTATCAGTGATTTTTTTTTTTTATTTTTAACTGAAGTACAATTGTTCAGTAAAGCCCAGAAAATGGTTGGATTGGAACAGTCCTCTAAATATCTCTAATTTTGATCACTATTCTAATAAATTTTTCATCTTCCTCAGGTTCATTAAAGGTTTTATTTACCGGAACCACCCTCGCTGCCCGGAGAATGAGTATTTCCTTGATTACATCCGCTTCTCCTTCCTGATGAACCTCAAGCGTAATTTACCAAAAACTGTTTTGGACAAGTCATGGCCAACTCCTCCTCCATCACTCTGTGAGGTAAGCGTGACAGCACCAGCGTCAGGTGAATGACGTGCAGGATGGAGGAGACTGCTGAAGGCCATGGGCCACCAAAGGCCTGAGGGCCCCTCCTGCTATCGGAGAAGAACAAACCAGGTTCTCGCTCAAGTTCCACCTTGCATTAGCATCTCACTAGTAGAATTAATCCAAACATCATCACATGGGTGTAATAAGCATATCTGTAAAATCATTAGAGCTGTAGTACTGAAAATTCTTGCGAGTGTGGTGCTGTTGCAACACCATTTTCTATGGGTTTTCCCATCCGTTTGTAAAATATTCTTCCCTTTTTCACTAAAGTAAGTTCCCTCGGGACAGTTAAATGGGCTGCAGTGCCAACGTGGTTGCCTGTTGAGAACATATTAACCTTCCTCTGTTGCCATGATTATTCTGCATCTGGCAGAACTGGGGTTTTATCTGATCAAGACAAAATATTGCAGCAAGTCCCAGTTATCTTATCCAAAGGTCCTGGTGCGCTTGGATCGCGGGCACAGCTGTGAAGTGGAGAGCTCCTGGCGTTTGTTCTCCATTCTAAAGCAGCTGGAGGGTGTAGCAGGGCGAACTCTCTTAGAAAGGTGGAAAATAAACTTCCTGCTATTTAATTTTAAAATACTCTCAGTAATGAAGCAGTATTTTAATTCAGCAATTGCTTGTCATCTGTCTTCACTGTTTGAATTAGTTTGTCAGTAATTTTGAGCTATTTTTTTGTTTATTGTGTGATTTCTTCTCCAGGCATCCCAGCTCCTGCGACAGCTGTGTATGCAGAACATGGTCTGGACCTACTGCAAGAGAATCAGCCCGGAGTGGAAGCAGCAGGTATGAGACAACTTTACATTATTTCACAAACTCTGCTGCTGTTCCCAAGAATGGCGGGGGGGGGGGGGGGGGTTTATTGTCACAAATTAAGGAGGGGAGCAGCTGGATGCGGGGGACAAGGGTTCTGCTGTAGGCAGAGGAAGTCCTTGGTGGCTGGTTAACAGTTCCACAAGACTGTTGTGATGTTGTTTTGTTGGTGGTTTTTTTTTTAAGGTTAGAGACAAAAAAACCCTGAAAGACTAGAATGTACATAATAAAGGGAAAACCCCATTATATACCTATTTCAATACATACTGTTTAAACAGTGTTGTACAGCCATGCCCCTGTATGAGTTCTATACTGAATGGTCCTGTTATTCTTCCCATGGAAGAAGCTGCATTATTCTAGTTGTAGCATATGAAGTAGAGAGTAGGAATGCTGCAGACACAAAACTAGTCATTTTCCAAACAGAGAAGTTATATGATTAGTTACAGCTGCCATTCTAGCTGAAAAGAATAAAAATGATACTGAGATTTGATTCCTCTTAGTCAGGGAAAGGTAGGGGGAGGGAATTTTTGTTTATATGAAAGGCTCAGTAAAGGGACATAATAGAAAATGTATCCATTAAACAATTTAGATGTGACTGGACGGAGAGGATAGTAACAGTTGTCATTGTGCTTTTTTTTGTTATTGCATAGTGTATCATACAGCATATGAAGGCCTGCAAGGTATTAAGCCCATGTAATGAAATGCTGTAGATTAGTTAGTGGCTGAGGCAGTGATTAAGGACACAGGATTAATACCGGCTGTTACTGAGGTAGAGGTGGGAACTCAGCAGAACACTTTCTTTTCCCCAGCAGACCAGGCTCACTGATAACAACTATCTTTTAGCCACATTTTTACCTGTAAATCATTACTGGGTAATAGCACCCATAACATGCATTTGCCCTAAATAAAGCCAAGGGGCTTTCCCCTTTCGCTGCTTTTGTTCTTATTCTGAAGAAACACAAGTTAGGTGTCAAGAGCACAGGTCATATTTACAGTGTGGGCGACTGTATCCTGGAATACTGCCGCCCTGAAAGGGACCAAAGGTTTGTGGTGACTCATTACCACAACAGGAACTCCTGGGCAGGACAGAGCTTCTGGAATTCTACGGTTTGTCAGAGGGTGGGGTAGAGAATAGTGAGTAGAGGTGAGAGCTGTAATGAATGTGTAACACAGTTTAATAAGGACATCACTTTTTGTCAGTTGACTAGCTGAAAGGCTTGGGGGGAGAAATTAAATGATCTGAAACATGAAAAAAGCCACATGAGGTAGTACAGGACAACAGACTGTTCAGCTTAACCTCTTCCTCAAAAGAATTGCTGCAGTGGGAGAATTGTGAGACTTTTTAAACACGGGCATTATCAGAAGCCAGAGGCTAGATACCACATCTAGATAAATTCAAACCAGAAATATGATGCAGACTTTAGAGACTGGGGGGGGGGGGGGGGGGGGAAAAGCGGGGGGGGGGGGGGGAGGCAGAACAAACAAACATTTTTACCCTAAAGAGAGGGTAGCTGTTGAAAATGGAAGGGATGTGTGGAATAGTTGAGGTGAGTTTGTGACTAGCGTGATTCAGGTCAGACCTAGATGGCAACTGCTTAAAAAGAAAAAACCAACCACCACAACACAAAGCCCAGAGCCTCTCTTTTAAGACAAATGTATCTTTATTAAGTAGAAATTTTAAACTAAACATGAACAAACATTTTGTCCTTGCAGTTGGAACAAAAAGTAATTGCCAGTGAAATTTTTAAGGGTAAAAAAGACAATTACCCTCAGAGTGTTCCTAGACTCTTCATCAACACTCGACTTGGTGAGTAGGTGTTACAGAGTTTAACAGGAAGAAGGAACGGGGGGATTAGTCAACTCTTTTCTTGTTACAAATACCTTTCTGACCCTTACCTCTTTGGGTTTTAATATAGGTAATGAAGAGATAAATGCTAAAGTCCTTCAGGCTTTAGAAAATGAAGCCATTAAGGTGAGAGATGTGTCTTAATACTTTTATCAAGTTTCTTGAGTTATTCAGCAGAATTAACATAAGATTAGATTTCTGAAGAAAACACAGCAAGAATTTTACATGCCATTAAGCTTGTAATGCTTTAGAAGGTAGTCTATGGGAAGAGCTGGTGGCTCAGAAATACAGTTTGAGGATTTGGGCAAGGTCAATTGTATCAGTTAATAACTGAAAGGGCCTGGAGAGGAAAGGAGAAACCTACACAAACTGAAACTAAACCTGGATTTTTCAGACAGCTGTAGTCATCAAGTTATTGCTCAGAACTCCTGTAGTGAACAAGGAAGTCTATGGCAGGACTGAGAATAGGACTTGAAAGAACTGTCTCCATTCCTAGTTTACCAGCCACTGGTCAGAATTCTCCAGGCTAGAGGGAAGGCAGCTGACAATTAAATTGCATTTTTAGCACTGTTAACACTTCTTTCAGTATGCAGTTCCTGTGATCAAGTATGACCGGAAAGGCTACAAAGCAAGAGCACGGCAGCTGCTTCTTACCCAAAATGCAGTCGTCATAGTTGAAGAATCCAAAATCAAACAACGGATTGACTATGCCAATCTGACAGGTAAGAATGGTAACCTGAATGGAGTTTGGCTCACTTGACTGAGTGAGCTACACTCACCTTGGCTACAGTTAAATAATAAAATAACCCATTGGTCTTTGTCCTGAAAAAGAATGGAATTATCTGATACTGATAAGCATTTTAAGTCTGTAATATCTTGAAACTCAGTTTTTCTAAAATTAAACTCCATAAAATGTCACAGAACTTACTTACTTCATCTCCCCCAAGCCCCATCTTAAATCATTTCCCAATTGCACATCCCTACCCCAGGGGAGTTGCGCCATTGTTACACAGCAGCAGCCTAGGACATTGCTATGGCTTTCAGCCCTCTGAAAATATCTGACATGGACTTGACACTTTTAGGGGGGAACTTGGTCAGACAGAAAGAAGTGCCCAATCTGGTGCAGCATAGTCATTACTTGGCTTTGTCCGAAACCTCTCACTTCACAGCTCAGCTCCAGCTCAGCTCCAATTCGTCTTTATTTACAGCCAGTTTTGGTGCTAATCACGTCAATCTTAGCCTGATGCAACTATCCACTATGTTTGTGACTATCACCCTTTGAAGTGGTTTCCAAGGGCAACGCTACTTTGGAGTTCTCTGACTCCCATAAGACACTATTATGCCAGAGATGTGTGTTTCTCTCTGCTAGGGTTGGGCTAGCTCAATTTAAATAGTAATCCAGTTTGTATCTAATGTCCAGATATTAAAGTCCAAAAATAAACTACTGGGAAACAGACATTACTGAAGCACAGCACAGTGCTCCCTAACCACTCCCAGGCCAGAGTAGCTCTTTTTGAAGTCTGTGAAGGCCAGGCCAGAAGTAGGAAGGATGCCCATTTACAAACTGATGGACAGAGGCATCTGAAAGTTTCTTTTCCATCTTAAAGAGCACAGTTATAAGCTGATTGTCTGCCACCTTGCAGCCTCTTCAGCCTCTCTGCTGGCATGTTAGCACAGCACTTCTGTGCAGCTTCCCAGCTGTCAGGTTTCTTGGCGTGAGAACAACAGTTGCTGCATTCCTGGGAGAGGTTCTCAAACGCGTGCTGGGGTCCCGCTGGCGTTGTCCTGGGTGTCAAATGGCCGTTCTCTGTTGCAGGCATCTCCGTCAGCAGCCTGAGCGATAACTTGTTTGTGCTGCATGTGCACTGCGAGGACAACAAACAGAAGGTAGCAGGACTCATCGTTTCCCCAACCACCTCTAGAAAAAGATTTGAAGGCACAAAGAGCAGAAGATCCAGCTGGAGGCGGGGGTGGGGGGGTGGGGGAACAGGGTGGGATGACACAACAAAACATGGTGACCTGTATGGGTGAGCAGTCCCCATCTGTAACTTACCTTGTGCCAGCTCGGAGCAGCATTTCACTTACATTTATTTGCACTCACAGATAGGTTCCCCAATGACAGTGCTGTTCCTTGCCCCCCCGTTACTGATACCGTGTAAGTTAAGGAACTACTGTAGGTACAGTGTGGCCCACAGAGGCCCCAGACATCTCCTCCAAGCCTGGCCCACTTGGAGAAGTGTTTTTTCCACACTAATATATGGAGATTATGCTGCAATTATCAGGGACAGAACTATCATTTTGGTAAAGCCATGATCATAAACCATTCCTTCTCTTCCCTCCTAGGGAGATGTTGTACTTCAGAGTGACCATGTGATCGAGACACTAACAAAAACAGCCATGCAGGCAGACAAAGTCAATAATGTCAACATCAACCAGGGCAGGTGAGTGAAGCCAAGTCCTTCAGTTTTCTTGTCTTAGCTCTGAATAGAGCTCTGCTTCAGCATTAAAGGGCTACAGAAACAAAATACACCGAACACATCTTAACCAAGGCTCTGTTTCCTTGAACAAGCAGATCTATTGCAGCTCAGCATCAACACAAAGCAGCCACTTACCCAGGAACAGGGTAAAACTAAGCTAGGGGAGAGGTCACAAATACTCATTAAATCTGTTCTTGCCTCTTTTTCTTCGCAGCATAAAATTTACAGTTGGGCAAGGCAAAGAAGGAATAATTGACTTTATATCAGGATCAGAACTGCTTATAGCCAAAGCCAAGAACGGCCATCTAACAGTGGTGAGTACAGCTGGTAAGAAACAGTAGTTCATTTGCAGTGGATGCAAACCCAGATTTTGGCATTAACCCCTCTTTGCAGCAGAGGGACACATGCCACATGACTTGCGAATGCACCACCCTGGTATTACCAGCCTTTTCCCCAGCTGGAGCTGAGCATTGTACTTCTCTTCCCACAGCCTCCAGGGACAGCCAGGCTTACTCAAACTCATCAAGTGGTTGTCCTGTCAATCACTTTTTTTTTTATCATCTCCTCAATTTAGGTTTTAATACTATACTCCTTTACAAATCAAATTTTAGAGGATTTAAAAACATAGGAAGCAAAAAAAAGAATCCTCTTCCCTTCTCAGATTGTTTGTAGTCTTCCTGCTAGTCAAGAGTCACACACCTGATTTACGCACTGCCAGATTAAAGGTTAAGAAATCAGAACACGCTCAGAGTGTGTGAGCTCCCCTGTCCTGCAGGCTGACCAGCCTCAGAACAGCAGTCATTGCCACTTCCCTGTCACTGACACAGAGCATCCTGTAGAAGCTACAACGTGGCACTGCCAAAGGATTTCCTTGCTCTAGGGAATGCCTATAGACTCTACACAGGAAAAGGACTAAATTTGTGTAAGCATGCTCCAGTGAGGATCATGCTGCTTTATTTGCAAACCAAGTAACTTCTTGGACTATGAATACATCCCATAATCCCCCCCCTCCCCCAGCCTTTCCAAACAATCCCTAAGAACCTTTTTTTTCCAATTTTGCCCCTCCCTCAGCAAAGCCAAGCCTCCTCATACTGCTAGCCTAGAGAGCAGCTTTTAATTAACCACAGGAACCAGGGGGTAAGAGCACTGTGGGCTCCTCTAACTTACCAGTTGCCAACACCTGCTTTTGCTTCCTGCGACTCCAACTTCGTCCTTCCCAGCAAACTCCACGTGCTGTGGGTAACAGCGTAATTCTACCAGCCGGTCTTTAGAGCACCAGACATTTAGGAGCTAAAACTGTTGCAGCACCTTGGTTTTCAGCACACTTCCTAGCTTGTCCTCCTCCTCCTGCAGGTTGCTCCTCGTTTGAATTCCCGATGATAAAGCGTGCCACCGTGGGACCTTTTCCTCCATCAGCCTGACTGCACCCTATAGAATTGGCCAGACATCATTCCCAGCAACCTCCCCCTCCTTCCTCGCTTTGCTCATTTTATTGTTACCAAAGACCTGCACGTTCAGAAAAAACCACAAAATACATCTTGCTTTGTTGTCTTAACATGAAATTCCCAAAAGAAAGGCCTTCTCTTCCTTACCTTAGTGGCAAACGCATGGGTCCAACGCACTGCCTGTGAAACCACGGCTTGTGAAACATTCAGCTGGGCTTTGAGGGAGAGGTAGCTCTGACTCTAGGAGAGTTTAAGCCCTGATGGAAACGACCAAAATTTGTGCTTGTCATCATCAAAAAGCACAACCAGAAAACAAATAACTCTGCTGCTTTGTCAGCCAAATCAATGAAATGCCAAACTTTATATTCAGAGAGAATGTTTTATGAAGAATTTTGCTCTGAGATGTTTTGATGCTTTGTGTTACGATATTTTAAAGCCATATTGTGTAAATGAGTAAAACCCTGTAAATACTTTATAGCTGAGTATGAGAGATGCACTAAAAGAAATGGAGTTAATGTGGAAACTTTTTATGGTTTAGATATGGAATTTGTTTTTTTAGTTTATAAGGTATTAACCTGAGAAACCCATCATGTAATTTCTTCACTGATCTGGAGATTCTTACTTTTTTTTTTTTAAGTCATCTGTCCCATTTCTTGCTCTATAGTGATATTTTTATACCATAACAACTTTTTCATATCCACACACCCAAACAAAACGTAATACTACCAACTGCAGAGGTCACCACTTCTCTGCGCCACTCTAGGCTGGAAATGAAACCCGCAGCCCTCGGCCACAGGACACGCACATGAGCTTTCTCTCCCACCTTGTGCCTGTCTGGGAGTCACCACTGCCCCTTCCCCACACAGCTCATCAGGCTCAGAGCAGCCCTTTCAGAAAAAAGTTTGCTTTTCCTCTTGTTTTTAGCGATAACTGGAAGTTTGAGTCCCCACAGTAGGGCTCCACACTGTTGATATGATGCCTCTCAGTACTGCCTTACAGAGGAAGAGATGGCTTGTTCAGCACTGCTGGCCTTCCCCACCAGCTGGCTGGCGGCTCCCTTGCATGGAAGCCCCTTCCCCAGCAACCTGCATTACTCCACTAACCCAAAGCTAGAAGGGATAAGCGTTTTGAACGCTGAGTGCTCTCAGACTGCACCACAGAGGTCAGTACCAAGCACCTTCATTTAACAAGAACCCAAGCGGCTGCGGGGCGGACAGCTACCTGTCAAATACCTGCTGACTACACATTACAGCTCCAGCTTCCATTTCCAAGTTTAGACCTCAAACAGTGCATTTTGCACTCGACTTGCCTTAGACTCCTTCCCGTTCCACTCTACGCTGATGCAGTAGCAACAAGTTACAGTAAGCCCTGAATAGATATAATCCAACATGCTGCCACTCATGTGCCATCGCCTTGGTCTCCTACTTTTTGGTTTCTGACATTACAGTTACCAGACACTGCCCCAGGCCTGGAATGCTGTATACACTGTAGCACATATACACCATACCACTGTATATGCTAGAGTGTATATACTATACATGCTGTATACGCTGTTATATAACTTCAAGACTAGCTAAATAAATTTTTACAAAAAAACCCACAGCTTGTCTGCGTTGTAGAAACTGTTTCATCACATCATTGCTTAATTCTTTAAGGGGGAGGGTAGGATTTTTCTTGGCTGTCACACCTCCCACTGAATCTCTTGGGTTGTTGGGCCCAGTTTGCCTATGCAGCAGGTAGCCCTGCTGCTGTCTCTTACAAAGAATGGATGATTCCATCCACATAACTGAATGTACCAGCCAGATCACGGGGGGTTTTGTGCATTCAGGTAGGGAA